GACAATGATGTGGAACCGGGGCGGCGCGTCCGCAACGCACGAGGCGCTCCCGCTGCTGCGGCCGCTCCGGCTGCTGCCGTTGTGCCTGCTGCTCGTGGACAAGGGGTAAGATACTCTTCGTTGATGGTAGCTCCAAGGCACAACATTTCGAACAAATTATGGCGCACAATTTTCGGAGACGACAATTATTAACTGGGTTGAAATCAAGGGTTGAAAAGCCGCTTCGCGACTTTTCTACCCTGCCCCGCCCGAGTCCATGCTATTGTTCACCTTACAGAATTCTTGCAAACTCCGATGACAAGACAAAAAACGCTCACAACCTCACCTTTCGCTACCCTTTCGTTCCTCCCCCCTCCCGCCCCATCGTGTTCTACCATGGATGCAGTCCTTGTGTTTCTATGTTGCAAATTCCTTGAGGTAGCGAATCTTCTAGCTAGTTGTACAGGGTGTCCCAATAAAAACACCCCCTCCAGCGGCGGACAGTCGGCCCGATTTTCACGATTTAGGCTTCTATCGAAAGCTCTCGATAAGGCGAGAAAACAAGGAGGGTTCAATTACTTTATTATGTATTTTTTTTCGCGCATTTTAAGTCCAAAAACTATGAAAATCACTGATTTATGGGGGATTTGCATGCTAATTGCGAAATCGTCTTGAAAAATTACATGCTTTTTTGAAAATTGTTACATGTCGATGGAATCAGGTTAAATCTGAAAAACGAAGTAGGCTTGTTTTCTCGCCTTTTCGAGAGCTTTTGAATGCTATAAAAATCAGCCCGATCCGAGCTTCCTCCGCGCCGCTAGAGGGAGGTGCTTTTTTTGGGACACCCTGTATATTGAGTGCGGTCACATTTGAAAGCTAAAAGTAGAAAAGTATTGCTATGCGGAATCAGCAAAAATTCCGCATAACATGGCATGGGCCGTACTTTGTTAGGTTAATGAATTTCCTATTCCGTCGGTCTGTGGTTTCTCTCCGGCTAAATCCCGATCCAATTCAAAGAGAATTTTCTGCGCACATCGAGGCGCTGCCAGTTTATCCGGAAATGAGAAAGAAAACATGGCGGGAAAGAGGCGTTCTTAATTTCAACCATATGCACGTAAACCCCAGATTTAGCGAGCATTCCGCAGTAATGCACCTTGTATTAACAACGACATTCTCTAGGGCAGAGCCTGCTCCGTCACCCGTCAGCCCGCGAACGGGGTAACCGTTGAGTAGAATCTATCGACATAAAAAAGCAGACCCCATCGCAATCGCTTTGAAAGGTGGTGTAGAAAGACGCCCTCCAATTTTTCGCACTGACTTTCCACCAGCTGAAAAGATATGCGCTTTTTAATTTTCGAAATTCCGGAATTTTTGTTGAAATTACTGATGTTCCCGGCGAAATGGACCGAATGTCTGATGCTTCTCCGACCAAACAATTTTGTACAAAATCAAAAATTGTCACAACTTTGGCGACAGTCCAGTTGCCATGTAGCTGGGATGGCCCTTAAGCCGGTTAAACGCAATTTTTCGAAAAAGCTGACTTAAGCATGAAAAATGCCGAAAAACGAGCAAGAAATTCCCGAATTTCGAAAATCGGAAAAAAACCCGGCCCGATCAGCTTGTCGAGTGCTTTCGTTAGATACCTAAATCGTCAAAATCGAGTACGGCTGTCGATCGCTATTTGGGTTTTGGGGGACACCCCGTACTTCTATCGAGTTGAGTTTCAAAGTGCACAATTTTCATGGGAATTTTTACGGAAAATGGCATTCAACGGGGAAAACCATGCGGTCATCTCAACACTCCGCTTGTTGGGGCGTGCCTTTAGAAAAAGATTTGGGGGATTTTTCGAGCGTCATGTGCCGTACTCTGGCGGTCCGGCGGTAGCGTTTTGAGAACGGCTCTTTCCACCACCTTGAAAAGTCACTGCGATGTCTTTTGAAAAGAAGACCCTCCTAGAGTGAGCCCGTAGAGACAAATCGCAAAATTCTACTCCCGATAAATCAAAGATGCAATGATCTCATTTTTTGTTTAGAGGTGAGCAACGGCTGGTCGACGCCGGCCCAGGAGTCGAGTCTTGTCGCTTTGCATTCCTGAATATGTTGTGTATACGAATAAAGTGTTTCCGGGATGTTGAAGTTTTTTGAACAGGGCAATACTCCCGCACACAGCTTCAGGCCTCATCATGATATCTACAAAAAAATACTGAGAGGGGGGATGGCAGAGAGGAGCATGTGGCCCCGAACAGTCATTACCCAGAAAAGTGACGCCAGCCCGAAAAATGACAGCGTTGTTTTCCCTGCCAAATGCCATTTTCCATCGGATTCCCTATCAAAATTATGCGTAATGTTTCGGGATAGTGACTTTTCGGTGGAAGGACAGCACATTTCACTCGAAGAAGGCACACGGGACAACCTCCCGGCTTGCGCTCGCAAAACGGAATTTGCGGAGGGGCAGCGCCAAAACTTTTCGAAACTTGGAAAATTTTGCCAGATAACAGAAACAAAGAAAATAACAGAAAATTTCGAGAAAAGTTCTAAGAAATGGGCCCGTTTCAAGGGCTCTTATTTCGGCCGTTCAGTGTCCAATTTTGATGATCTCAAGATCTATCGATATCTACTCCTCGAAAGGTATCGATTGGCGTGAATTGATCGTATGCAAATTGATCTATGCAGAAATAACTCGCAAAAACACTTTTGCGTAATCCTGCCTTATATAACCAGATGGTTACAGTCGCTTCGCGACTGCAACCATCTGGCCTTCGGGCTACCCTCCATGTCTCACTCCACCACATCATTTCCCACCTCCATCAATGCCCCACATAGCCGAAATCCCGTTCAAAAACTACCTACATACCTTCCTGATGGCTTCAGATACCCCCCATGGCTGAAATCCCCTTCAAAAACTACATAAATACCTTCCCGATGGCTTAAGCTACCTCCCCTAGCCGAAATCCCCTTCAAAAACTACCTAAATACCTTCCCGATGGCTTAAGCTACCTCCCTAGCCGAAATCCCCTTCAAAAACTACCTAAATACCTTCCCGATGGCTTAAGCTACCTCCCTAGCCGAAATCCCCTTCAAAAACTACCTAAATACCTTCCCGATGGCTTAAGCTACCTCCCCTAGCCGAAATCCCCTTCAAAAACTACCTAAATACCTTCCCGATGGCTTAAGCTACCTCCCCTAGCCGAAATCCCCTTCAAAAACTACCTAAATACCTTCCCGATGGCTTTAGATACCCCCCATCGCTGAAATCCCCTTAAAAAACAAAAATAACGACCGACCGGATGGAATGAGAGAAAAAAAAGAAATGAAATCCCCCGTGAAAATTTTCATCCACGAAACGCGCGCGACCTGGCTCACTATCTCCGAAATCACCCCAACCTCCGTCCCCACCCCTGTTACTAAGGAAAAACCTCCAAAGTTAATTTTAATAATTTAAACTAAAAGTTTTTCATAATTTTTTTTATCAGTTTGGGGGTTTCTGACCACGCTCTATCCGAATCCGAAGAGAGCTAAGCTCTAGCTCCTTTCCCCTTCGAGTTGAATTCGGCTTCACACAGACGGACGGACAGACGCGTCAAGAAAATTATTATAGTTGATTTTGGCGCGCATCTTTGTCTGTGAGTGTGTGTGGATGTGACCTTTGAGGCCCGATTTCCAAATAAAAACACCCGCCTCTAACTTGACCCAGCAGTATCGGATCGGACCGACTCGATGGACTATGCCGTCGGCATCCCTTTAAATGCGTTGTAAAATCGCGGGTTTAGATAAAAACATGTGTTTGAAGATTGTGGCAAATTCACCATTTCAAGGCCTTTCGAATGGTCTAACTACCATTCCGATTGGACCATTCCAGGGGAGTAGCTACGGCCAAATTTTTTTGGGGGGGCCTTACCTACCCTCCGGTCGCCCTTATTAAACGTCCGAAAAACTGCAACACTAACAGCGCTGCTAACAAAACACAATTCGAAAAAGCGTTCGATACCCTCAAATTCGAGTGAAAATGCCACAGAAAAGGCGCAGGCGGAAAATATTATGGACAATTGATATACTAATGACAACCCAGCGCCACAGGCAAAACATTTTAGAGAAATATGCTTTATAGAAGTAAAAACCATCTTGAAAACAGTAGCAAGGGGCGGCGGCCAAAACCGGGGCTGGGTATCGGGGAGGGGCCGGGGCCTGGGCCGGGTATTGCGTCGGGGCCGGGGCCGGGGCTCGAGCCGCGTGCCAGGAGTAACATTTTTAAACTTGTCATTTTTTATTGGGCTGATTTTGTTTATGGAAATATCCAGAACACCGATCAAAATCAAAAATAATTTCGAAAAATGGCCATGACCGATTTCGGATTTCGATTTCGACCTTACGCTACGTCCCTGCACCCTTCCCGGTCGAGTTTCGCGGGGGCGGGGGGGTGTTTTCTATTCAAACACCCTGTATTTCCAGCTGCCCCCAGCCCGGCGGACCGTCGGCCGCCCACCCACCGTCAATCATGTAGGTTTATTTGGGCATCCAAGGGACTGGTCTTTGAATTACTACAGGGTGGCCTAGAAAAAGACCAGCTGTGGATTCAGCCGCCTTACATCCGAATGTTACCAAAATTGGACCCCAAATCGCAAATGACAAAACCTATAGCCATTTTGTTACAGAAGTTCTGGAGTTATGGCAAAAATTTGCTTTTAATTCATAACGTTCCATGTGGGAATCTACTATATATAAATCTCTAATGTCCGTACGCCCATCCGTCCAGCATTCGGCCAAATTCTCCATTCAAATTCAAAATTTGAATTGGGGCGGGGGAGGAAGGGCCAGCGCTGAAACCGCCGTGTAGCGGGGGCGGGGGGGGGGGTTTCTTTACCCCCAGAAAAATTGTCAAGCTTAGGCTTAGGCTTAGGCGGACATGTCAAGTGCCGTAATTTTGACTATTGTTAAAAAAAATGTAAGGGGAAAGCACGATAATTTCGCTGAAAGAATCATCACGACTCGGCATATTTCAATTACCTCAATTGGCGGAAAACGATGAATGCTACCCGACGAGTCGCTTTGCAGGAAAATGGAGAATGTCCGGAATGTGGCAATTATCGGGAGCTTAACGACTCGCTGGGACCGTGGGCGTGCACTCCTTGTGCCAACAATTTCCGGTCTGGTTAACCAAGAAGCTCGCGGTTATCAACATTCCTTCTAGGAAAAACGCCGGACGTCTGCCCGCCAAGAAATGCGAGCTGAACTGCTCCGCCGCGCGTTCGTCTCATGCACCCCATTCCAAAAAACCAATACTTTTAGAGAACTGCACCTTCCACAGGGTGCTGAGGGGAATCGCTCGGGGCTATCGGCTGCCGCAACATATTCGGATGCCCGACTAAACCACATTGTCAAGCGCTAAATCACAAAATTAACGCAATTAACCCCTTTCACTACTTCGATGTTCCCTTACTCGGTATAAAGCCTTCAGATAGGACCGTTTAGCGCATTCCCGAACTCAAATGCATTGCAAACAATATGCACCGGTAGCCCTATAGTTCTCTTTATTCATTTGATGAATTTACAAGACAAAGTGAGATCTGGAGTTTGACTTGTTAATTCGCTATAAGCAATGAGGATACCGTAGGATGTACGGGGTACTATAGCGGATTCCTGCATTCAAATGCATTGTAAACCACGTGCTCTGTTGGTCATATAGTTGTTTTTATTCATTTGATGAATTTACAAGACAAAGTGAGATCTGGAGTTTATCCTGTTAATTCGCTGTAAGCATGGAGGATACTGTAGGATGTACAGGGTACTGTAGCGGATTCCTGCATTCAAATGCATTGTAAACCACATGCTCTGTTGGTCATATAGTTGTTTTTATTCATTTGATGACCAGCGGGGGAGGAGCCGCTTCGCGACTCTCCACCGCTGGACCCCGTCTAGGCCCTATGAATCGAGCGCCCTTCCACATAAAGTCACCCTGAACAAAGAAAAACGCATCTCCCATGCAAACCTCTTTGTATTGACATGCGGCGCAAGCTTAAATTGCTAGTGTCGTTATTAAGCCTGCGGCGCATGCTTGATCGGCCAGATCCTTATCCAGCGGCCCCAGCTTGAGCGGTTTGCTTCGAGAGAAAGCCTGCGGCGCAAGTTTAAGCGGTTACCTCCTTCTTTAGCCTGCAGCGCTAGCTTGAGCGGCTAGCTTCGCTCCAAAGCCTGCGGCGCTAGCTTAAGCGGCTAGCTTCGTTCTAAAGCCTACGGCGCTAGCTTGAGCGGCTAGCTTCGCTCCAATGCCTGCGGCGCTAGCTTGAGCGGCTAGCTTCGTTCTAAAGCCTGCGGCGCGAGCTTGAGCGGCTAGCTTCGTTCCAAAGCCAGCGGCGCTAGCTTGAGCGGCTAGCTTCGTTCTAAAGCCTGCGGCGCGAGCTTGAACGACTGGCTTCGTTCCAAAGCCTGCGGCGCTAGCTTGAGCGGCTAGCTTCGTTCTAAAGCCTGCGGCGCTAGCTTAAGCGGCTAGCTTCGTTCTAAAGCCTGCGGCGCTAGCTTGAGCAGCTAGCTTCGCTCCAAAGCGTGCGGCGCTAGCTTGAGCGGCTAGCTGGTTCTAAAGCCTGCGGCGCGAGCTTGAACGACTGGCTTCGTTCCAAAGCCTGCGGCGCTAGCTTGAGCGGCTAGCTTCGTTCTAAAGCCTGCGGCGCTAGCTTAAGCGGCTAGCTTCGTTCTAAAGCCTGCGGCGCTAGCTTGAGCAGCTAGCTTCGCTCCAAAGCGTGCGGCGCTAGCTTGAGCGGCTAGCTTCGTTCTAAATCCTGCGGCGCGAGCTTGAACGACTGGCTTCGTTCCAAAGCCTGCGGCGCTAGCTTGAGCGGCTAGCTTCGCTCCAAAGCCTGCGGCGCTAGCTTGAGCGGCTAGCTGGTTCCAAAGCCTGCGGCGCTAGCTTGAGCGGCTAGCTTCGTTCCAAAGCCTGCGGCGCTAGCTTGAGCGGCTAGCTGGTTCTAAAGCCTGCGGCGCGAGCTTGAACGACTGGCTTCGTTCCAAAGCCTGCGGCGCTAGCTTGAGCGGCTAGCTTCGTTCTAAAGCCTGCGGCGCTAGCTTAAGCGGCTAGCTTCGTTCTAAAGCCTGCGGCGCTAGCTTGAGCGGCTAGCTTCGTTCTAAAGCCTGCGGCGCTAGCTTGAGCGGGTAGCTTCGTTCCAAAGCCTGCGGCGCTAGCTTGAGCGGCTAGCTTCGTTCTAAAGCCTGCGGCGCTAGCTTGAGCGGGTAGCTTCGTTCCAAAGCCTGCGGCGCTAGCTTGAGCGGCTAGCTTCGTTCTAAAGCCTGCGGCGCTAGCTTGAGCGGGTAGCTTCGTTCCAAAGCCTGCGGCGCTAGCTTAAGCGGCTAGCTTCGTTCTAAAGCCTACGGCGCTAGCTTGAGCGGCTAGCTTCGCTCCAATGCCTGCGGCGCTAGCTTGAGCGGCTAGCTTCGTTCTAAAGCCTGCGGCGCGAGCTTGAGCGGCTAGCTTCGTTCTAAAGCCTGCGGCGCGAGCTTGAACGACTGGCTGGTTCCAAAGCCTACGGCGCTAGCTTGAGCGGCTAGCTTCGTTCTAAAGCCTGCGGCGCGAGCTTGAACGACTGGCTGGTTCCAAAGCCTGCGGCGCGAGCTTGAACGACTGGCTTCGTTCCAAAGCCTGCGGCGCTAGCTTGAGCGGCTAGCTTCGCTCCAAAGCCTGCGGCGCTAGCTTGAGCGGCTAGCTTCGTTCTAAAGCCTGCGGCGCTAGCTTAAGCGGCTAGCTTCGTTCCAAAGCCTGCGGCGCTAGCTTGAGCGGCTAGCTGGTTCTAAAGCCTGCGGCGCGAGCTTGAACGACTGGCTTCGTTCCAAAGCCTGCGGCGCTAGCTTGAGCGGGTAGCTTCGTTCCAAAGCCTGCGGCGCTAGCTTGAGCGGCTAGCTTCGCTCCAAAGCCTGCGGCGCTAGCTTGAGCGGCTAGCTTCGTTCTAAAGCCTGCGGCGCTAGCTTAAGCGGCTAGCTTCGTTCTAAAGCCTGCGGCGCTAGCTTGAGCAGCTAGCTTCGCTCCAAAGCGTGCGGCGCTAGCTTGAGCGGCTAGCTTCGTTCTAAATCCTGCGGCGCGAGCTTGAACGACTGGCTTCGTTCCAAAGCCTGCGGCGCTAGCTTGAGCGGCTAGCTTCGTTCCAAAGCCTGCGGCGCTAGCTTGAGCGGCTAGCTTCGTTCTAAAGCCTGCGGCGCTAGCTTGAGCGGGTAGCTTCGTTCCAAAGCCTGCGGCGCTAGCTTGAGCGGCTAGCTTCGTTCTAAAGCCTGCGGCGCTAGCTTGAGCGGCTAGCTTCGTTCCAAAGCCTGCGGCGCTAGCTTGAGCGGGTAGCTTCGTTCCAAAGCCAGCGGCGCTAGCTTGAGCGGCTAGCTTCGTTCTAAAGCCTGCGGCGCTAGCTTAAGCGGCTAGCTTCGTTCTAAAGCCTGCGGCGCTAGCTTGAGCAGCTAGCTTCGCTCCAAAGCGTGCGGCGCTAGCTTGAGCGGCTAGCTTCGTTCTAAATCCTGCGGCGCGAGCCTGAACGACTGGCTTCGTTCCAAAGCCTGCGGCGCTAGCTTGAGCGGCTAGCTTCGCTCCAAAGCCTGCGGCGCTAGCTTGAGCGGCTAGCTGGTTCCAAAGCCTGCGGCGCTAGCTTGAGCGGCTAGCTTCGTTCCAAAGCCTGCGGCGCTAGCTTGAGCGGCTAGCTGGTTCCAAAGCCTGCGGCGCTAGCTTGAGCGGCTAGCTTCGCTCCAAAGCCTGCGGCGCTAGCTTGAGCGGCTAGCTGGTTCCAAAGCCTGCGGCGCTAGCTTGAGCGGGTAGCTTCGTTCCAAAGCCTGCGGCGCTAGCTTGAGCGGCTAGCTTCGTTCTAAAGCCTGCGGCGCTAGCTTGAGCGGCTAGCTTCGTTCCAAAGCCTGCGGCGCTAGCTTGAGCGGGTAGCTTCGTTCCAAAGCCTGCGGCGCTAGCTTGAGCGGCTAGCTTCGTTCTAAAGCCTGCGGCGCTAGCTTAAGCGGCTAGCTTCGTTCTAAGGCCTGCGGCGCTAGCTTGAGCAGCTAGCTTCGCTCCAAAGCGTGCGGCGCTAGCTTGAGCGGCTAGCTTCGTTCTAAATCCTGCGGCGCGAGCTTGAACGACTGGCTTCGTTCCAAAGCCTGCGGCGCTAGCTTGAGCGGCTAGCTTCGCTCCAAAGCCTGCGGCGCTAGCTTGAGCGGCTAGCTGGTTCCAAAAGCCTGCGGCGCTAGCTTGAGCGGCTAGCTTCGTTCCAAAGCCTGCGGCGCTAGCTTGAGCGGGTAGCTTCGTTCCAAAGCCTGCGGCGCTAGCTTGAGCGGCTAGCTTGTTCTAAAGCCTGCGGCGCTAGCTTGAGCGGCTAGCTTCGTTCCAAAGCCTGCGGCGCTAGCTTGAGCGGGTAGCTTCGTTCCAAAGCCTGCGGCGCTAGCTTGAGCGGCTAGCTTCGTTCTAAAGCCTGCGGCGCTAGCTTGAGCGGGTAGCTTCGTTCCAAAGCCTGCGGCGCTAGCTTGAGCGGCTAGCTTCGTTCTAAAGCCTGCGGCGCTAGCTTGAGCGGGTAGCTTCGTTCCAAAGCCTGCGGCGCTAGCTTGAGCGGCTAGCTTCGTTCTAAAGCCTGCGGCGCTAGCTTGAGCGGCTAGCTTCGTTCCAAAGCCTGCGGCGCTAGCTTGAGCGGGTAGCTTCGTTCCAAAGCCAGCGGCGCTAGCTTGAGCGGCTAGCTTCGTTCTAAAGCCTGCGGCGCTAGCTTGAGCGGCTAGCTTCGTTCCAAAGCCAGCGGCGCTAGCTTGAGCAGTTAGCTTGATTCCTTGGCCTGCGGCGCATGCTTGAGCGGGTCGCTTCATTCTATAGGCTGCGGCTTGAGTGACTAACTTCATAATAACGTCCCTACACGGAAATCTGCTCCGAAACGCACTTTCCGAGCAAAAAGCAAAACAACTACGATATCCGAGGATCGAACCTCCGATGGTTGGATTAGCACGGCGAAGCGCTTACCACTACGCCATGCAATGCTTGGCAGCACGCGCCAAACACCCGTTTTATACCTCAAGAGGACTGCCTGGGGCAGGGGAAGGAAAGACATCGAGAGGCAGATCCAAAGAGACGACCAAACTCGCGAGTGCAACTGGCAAGAATGAGGAAATTTGTATTTTTTCACATTATGCAAATTAGCCCTCCCGGGCCCCCAAAAATCAATAAAACCGGCTTTAACTTTGTAAACTTGTATTTTATCGGGATTCTGAAAGCGCCATCGGAAAGAGGAGGGTCGATTCCCCCGGGTGACGGAGAATTAGGGCATTTTGGACACGGGAAGGCCCTCAAATCGGGCCTCGAAAGTGACATCCACACACACACACGCACAGAGATACACTCCAAAATTATATAAGGTAGGAATTTACAAGACAAAGT